TAGAATGCTATATCAGATACTGACCCAGCAAGTCCAGTGTCCTGCTGCCAGCAGTAGCTATTGTGTGATGCTTCAAAGCGTGCACCCTTGCCCTCTGGGTCCTGTTCTTGGCAGGAGGTTAATAGAGCAGTTCCTTCCTGATTAATTCCTGTCTGAAGGAAGATAGATGATTTGCATTTCTCTTAGCCACATGTAAGAGCTGGGTCATACATTGATCTCGTCCTTCTAAAACTTCAGCGAGCAGCCTGTTAAACTGCAAGGCACTAAGTGGTTGTAGGCTTGGAAGTACTGGTGTAAGCTTGTATTTATCATCTTCTCAAGTGCTGCCAGACTCTGAGATTTCCTCTCCAGGGATAGGGAAGCATATTCTGCTTTTGAACATGTGCTTGATTCATTGATTAAGTAATAACAATTGTCTGTTTTGGATGTGGCAAAAAAACTCTTCTAAATCTGGCATCTGATAGGTTTCAAGTCCTCAAGAAAAGTCCTAGGCATCAGTGAGCAGAACATTATAGGTTTGGGGGAGAAAATGTGAAAACATGAGATCTGGTTGGCAAATCCGTGACTGAATAAAACTCAGTCTCAGACTGTTGATATTCTGAAGGATATTGGGTAGTACTTTGGTATAGTAGAATCCCTACCAGAGCCCCTCTTGCTGTCCTCAAATTGTTTAATGTATCATTTCCATTCTGTGCCTCAGTTTCCTGTTTCTTTATACTGAATGCTTGCTGTATTTGTAGGGCGTTCCAAGATCTGTGACAAGAAACATAGCTGACAACAAACTCTGAGAGACAGTTGATCCCAAATTTGACGCATGAAACTTAATTTCGTTGGTTAGGGGCCATAACTTGTTATCTGCCTTGCTTTTCTTTTATCGTTCTCTGACAAATTAAATTAGAATGTAATTTCTGATCGATTAGCCAGAGGTCAGAAATATTTGGGGTTGCAGTTTGAACACTGAATTCTTCTGAATCATGCTTGCAATATCTCCTTGCTTGCTGGGAATTCCTGAATTTTGCACTACCACATCAGTGAACCAGTTTTACAAGATGCCATTGCTTTGTTGTGCCATATCTGCAGCAGTTCAATTGAAAAACTGTGTGTGTGTGTGTGTGTGAGAGAGAGAGAGAGAGAGAGAGAGTGAGACTGTGTGAGATTTTGTTTGCAGTCATCAAAACTCCCAACTGTTAGTTGGAGGTCATGAGTACAGGTAAAGTTGCATCTCAGGAGGCCTGGCTGGTTATTTTGTGTAAATAAGTAAAAAAGTACAAGTTTGGCTGTTTTTTCCTAAACATTCTGGGCCTGTTTCTCACATATGTTGTAAAGGGATATTAATGCAAAAATGCTGTAAGAAGGAGGTGAATGTTCATCCAGGACCATACCTAGCAACATGTATAATTCTTACAGCAAATGAGAACTGGGTCCTGGCTATCAGCTGCACCAGACAGAGAGAACAAGGGCTCTAATGGAGTACATCTTTTAAGTAGTAATGTGCTCCAGCTACGTCATATCCTCTCTCTGCTTTTGTTCTTTCCCATTTTTGTGGATTTAAAGTAGCTGGAATATCACTGCTTCTGTTGTGGGGTTTGCCATTTGTGATGTGTAGGATGTGCTGTTTGGCAACCAGGCAGTGAGAAGTTTACTATTGGATTTATCTCTCTGTCTAGTTTGTGGTTGGAGACCTGTATGTTGTTTGTGGGTTTTTTATGTTCGTCACTGAGCCCAGCAGTTTTATTATATTCTCAGAAAAGGGTTTTGCAACAGCTCAGCTATTAAAGCCAAACCATGTAGTTTAGTTAAAAGTCTGGGCAGGAAATAACATAATGAGATTCATCCTAGGGGAGAAGTGTGGCGTATCTTGGGTGGGAAGGGAATGCAGATATCCTATTTATAGGAACAGGGGAAAACAACTTTGGATTTGAAGAGTAAATGCAAAGGACTTAGCATGGGAAAACCAGACTTGGCAATCTAAGATACTCAGATCCTTGCTGTCAGACTACTTTTCCATTTTTAAGTATTATGTCTTTGCTATATCCCAGTGAAGAAGAAAAGTTTGAAACTGAAATCTGTGTTGCATTGTCTTCTTGCAGTGTCTTTTTAGGAGTTTATGCTATGGACGAGCCTCATTAAGTGCAAATACTTGAAGCCCTATTATTTTATGCAGTACAAAAATAGTTGAAACAGCACCTACTCCAGGGAGTTTGTGCAGTCCAAACAGGCCGAGACACATGCAGCATGGGAGAGGAAATGGATTATTTAACTTGTTCAAGGTCATGCAACAGGTCAGCAGCAGAGCTGGGAGTGGAGTCCAGCTCCATTGCCTTACCCATTAAATGGGATGCTTCTGGTGTTGCATTCAAACTGATGAGGAGAGCTTTTGTGGAGAAGGCAACAATAGCGGCTCTTAGTGCCTCCAGAACAGCCTACCTCAAAGCAGAATACTGTCCTCCTACTGCCATTGCAGAGATTGTAATAGGATTATGTGGGGCCATACATTTTTATGGATAGTTTCTTTTACTTATATTGTGATTTCTGTTTGTAAACAGATGTTAAGTCTGTTCTGCCTTTCACCGTTGTATTGGAGCAGAGATTCCCAAACCTTTTCTTGCCACTGTCAACACTTGCAGTTCCCTACTTTGTACTGGGTCATGTGCTACTTTTAAGGGATTTGCATATCATTAGTGCTACATATAACTAAGCTTGCGACTGTAGCTTTAGAGAATATGCTGACATCTTGTCCTTCCTTCCAGGAAAATAAAGCTTGCTTTATAGGAGGTCCTGCACTGAAATAGCAGATTACAATCAGATGGAGGAACTGAGCTGTTTCTTTTACACATAGGCCTATCACAGCTGGCTGTACCTGTGC